GCCATCCATGGTAACTCGCAGTTCCAGAAGCCCTCTCATTTGCGATGGACATGGGAGTCACCTGGTGGACAGTTCCATAATGAAAGAGACCACATCATCTTTAATCGGAGGTTTTGCCTGACTAATGTCGCTGTTGTTCCGAAGTTCTACACGGGATCGGACCATCGCCTCCTCCGCGCTAGGTTCTGTTTCTCAGCGCGTGGAGAGAGAGCTATGAAGTTTAGGAAACGGAGCCCCAGAACCACTGTCAACTGGTGGTACAAGTTAAGTGGCGTTCTTGAAAAATATTGTAGGACAATAGTTTATGGCTTTGTATGTACATATGACTATCCGCTGATTCTATTCTTGAGGTAAACGCCCTTTCAAGAGGCCCTTTCATGAGGTAAGCGTGGTGATGCGGTGGGGAACGATGCCACGGCTGTACTCAAGACCGTGGATCCACCTGCGACTTGCTTTGAAGTTGTCCCCTATGGGCCTTCATTGTTGATTTGAAGCCGTACTCAGTGGAAATGACTGTCGTGGAATGAGACTCCTTCATTGATCTTATGGCAGCTTATCCTTCCAACTTATCTGCTAATCTCCAAGTAGGCAGATCGGTTCGCCTGTTTCTCACGTTAAGAGGTACGGCTCCTTTTGACGGCCGAACTATAGAAGGCTATGGACTCTCCTACCAGTGTCATACAATTTGAGCTTCTGGGCCAGATTACAAACATGAAGGCTACTTTTCACTTCCGAACCTCTATATCCCCACAAACGTACGAGTTTTTTTCACGAAGTTACGGGTCTATCGTCGCTGTTCTCATCAGGCGACCGCAGAGGATCATTGTGATCGCGTTTCACGGACTCTATTTCCTCGGAAATAATTACGGGCTTGTTTTCATAGCATCGAGAAGTATGGTTCGAAAGATCTTCATTACGGCCTTTCCATAAATGGTGCCCACGTTTTGCTGTAAGAACGAAAGTCCTCCATCAAATACTACGACACCACATTTGGCCAGAAGATTCGCTGCTAGCATGTAGAGTAGCGTTTGATCAGATAAATTTGTTGGATTCTTTCTCCTCGAAGCCTCTTGAGCCCATTTTGAGCAAATGTATTCTGTTTCCACCCCGTCTCTTCCACAATCAGATCGATAGCAACTTGCTCATTCCAAGGGGTGAGCAAGGTAATACATATAATCACACTCTCGGGCTTTATATGTGGCTGTCATGAGTAAGCAAAGACACAACCCTAGTGGAGTTACAAGTGAAGGACTGGTTTTTCCGGTACCTTGAGAGTGAGCCTCTTCCAATTCTTTTGTTTATTTGTGAGTCTNTTCTTGGAACTTTTACTATTCACTTCTCACTGTTCATGTGATACATATATTATTTTCCAGAGTAGTTGCTTATTTTTCAGTTGTGAGCTTGCATTCAAATTTCCTCGTGCCGGAAAGTAATCTGAGGCAAGATCTTTACAATGACATTGTAATGCCTTTTTGAGATTACGAGGTGATGCGGGGACAGTTAGCGCCCAGTACACTGGCCGCAACGACTGTATAGTCAAAGCGTACCCGCTTGCCTACTCGCGTGTCTTACCAGTTAGTGAGTACAGTATTATTAGCACATTATTACGGTTTAAAAATTGTCATAGAAAGCAAACTCGCGAATCTTTCTTCTCTGAGCCTTGGTATCCTTTCAAATCTCCCAAATTTCCTTTCCAAACATATTGCGTAATAAGTGTCTACTGTAAGACCACCAAGATTTTCCCATACAGGCAGGATCTTAATATACATAGAAATCTTTTCCTACTTCTTCAGCAAAACTATTCTTTCTTATATGATATTTTCATCTCTTCTTGATTCCAAGAAATGTGAAATATGTTGGTTAGTTCCAAGTAATGTGCCTTGTAGAAATGTGGCTCCTGAAACGTGGCGAGAATACGTCCAGTCTACCTGTGATGGAGGATTCTTCGTCGGATCGAGATGTCGAGACGGAATTAGGCGTCCGTCACTGGCTGCTTATTCTCATGCATGTAGTATCCTTGGTCGTTGGAACAACCTTCCTCAATGCCCGTCTACCGGAAGCCCAACCTGCAAGCACAGGTGAGTCTCAGAGAAATCGTGTGGGCTGATTGTTGTATGAAATCGAAATAACCATTATCGTAGGCAGTCAATTTGCAAATGTATGGGTAAACAGAGGAGTGTAGATGATATGTGACTGTAACCTTGGAAGTGGCCCTATCTCTCTGATCAAGTGATAGGCTTGCGAGGCCTATTCCTGAGTGTGTAGCGGACTTCTGGGATGCTTCTAATTAGTCATATACTTCTATATGTTTATTCACCTGTGTCACCTGTTGTCCCGTTGATCATCGACTTCCTCGAGCGGGCGCCAGTA